GACACCTGAATTTTTTGCGTAAAAATACCTTATCATAAAAAATTCGCATTATACTCGACTATATAAGATATTTATTGTTATTATTAATAACGGAATTACCGAATTAGAAATCGGTGTGCCGTGTTCGAATTCCAGTTTGTCAAACTAACTTTCCCACAAATACTGTTAAAAAAAAAACAGACGGATCAATCTCTTCTTTTCCCAGCTATGGGTTAAATAGCAGCTCTCTAGCTGTCGTTGTAGCTGACATATTCACGACCCAGTGGATAAAATCGTTGGTTGATTAATCCAAATATTGACTTGATCCAAACAGTTGCGAGTTCAGTCAGCAGAGGGAACAAAAACTTAGACAGTTATCAAGGAAAAATTAACTAAAACTGAGATATTCAAAGTAATTAGAACAATCTACCCCCCCCCCCGCGCGTCGACTAAATAAAGGGTTCGGTACGAAATTCAAAAAAAAAATATCTACTGAAGAAGACCGAAACGTAAAATGTCCGGAACGTCGTGTATGTGACAGTAAAGATGAAGGCAACAGTCAGAATATTGTAAACAGTGTAAATAGTTAAAATACCTAATCTCAGAAATATAGACATATCCTGAAGAAAACCAGAGTGTACAACGACCGAAACGTCATGAATGTGACAATAAAGATGACGACAACAGTTCGAACAATGTAAATAGTGTATATAGTTACAATACATCATCTCAAGAATATAGACAGATGGTGAAAACTTACAATAAACAATAGGAAACAAATCGAAAAAATGCATTGGTCAAGACTAATTGGAGGAAATCATTCAGTTTTTCGAGGGACAAATGTATGAAGGTTATATGAACAAGGCCAGAGACAAGCGCTGAATATACCTGGGACAATAAAAAAAAAGGGGGGTCGCTTTTAGGGTTACACGATAGACAGCGAAATTAGTTTTGTCCGCCCATATTGTGACTGTCGCGTGGATTGTGATGACACGACAGGCCTCGGATCACGTGCAAAGCTCGCGTGTCTTGACCGCGAATGGCGAATGTTAAATCTTGGTCTTGTCTGTAAGTCACTGTCAAATGTTGAGATAATGATCACAAGAGAACTGGAAGGTAACTTGGCGAAACCGCGTCAGATTCAACGACAGGAATCAGAGGCTTTCTTTCTTACCGATATTTTCCAGGTTCATGATCGATGAAGATATTTACGGAAGGTTAAGACTGCATCATTTATCCAAGCATCTAAAAATAAGCAATATATATATATATATATATATATATATATATATATATATATATATATATATATATATATATATAATAAAACGAAACTTTAATTATTCATTTCGATCATAATTTATTACATGAACACCGAAATGTTCATCTCTTCAGATCGAAAACTCCTTAATAAATGGAGTCAATACACCGGACAGATATATTGGATTGATAGGGGGAGGGAAAGCAAGAGGAGAGAAGAGATGAGATATGGCGGCGGGGGGAGAAAGTGATGGTTGGGTAGTAGTGTTTAATCCGTCTGGCCCGGTCGAGAATTTTTCCTTTTAAGTCAGGGACATTTTATATTGGGTTATATATCAAATTGACCGATACGGTTTGTTGTTTTAGGCAGGACAAACCAACTCGATTCCAAATTAGTTAGTCTAATGAAAGAGTCTTTAATACAAATAATAGGTAGTGATTACATTAATAATACCTAAGTATTCATCTCTTCTGACCGAAATTATATATATATATATATATATATATATATATATATATATATATATATATATATATATGCGTTTGTGTGTGTGTGAAAATATATAGAAAATAGGAAAGAACTCGTTAGGTAAATAATCCAAAAGTTCTTTAGTATTTTTGTCATTATTTTTAAAAAACAGTGCTCGATACAAAAGTAGAGCCTAAATATAATTATATTTTAATTATTTAATTATATTTTAAAATAAATATATTATATATATATATATATATATATATATATATATATATATATATATATATATATATATAATGTAGTTCCAACGAGAGAAAAGTATGTATATTAAAAAGAAGAAAGAGGTGCCGCAAACGTTTTTGGTTGTAATGTGGATTTATTTAGAAAAAATATTATGCTTTGTTTTACATAATTTTACGACACATGTTTCTGGTCTCATGACCGTCTTCAGGTAAAAGTGGAGATTTCCACATATTATTAAAAATAATTAATTTTTCCTCATGTTCAATGTTAAATATTCTCGATATGAGACATTTTCTGTTTGTGTGTTGGTAATCCGAATTTCCTTCTTGGATTTTCCTTCTATCTATCATATATATATATATATATATATATATATATATATATAGATAGATAGATAGATAGATAGATACGGGGAAGGGACCGAAAGTGAGGGTGTGTGAGAGAAGGAGGAGAAGGCTCGTTTAAAAAGATGAGAGAGTTGGGTTGGAAAAGAAAGTGTTAAGGAGGTAATGGATGGGTAGTAGTATGCATTAACAGACTGACCTGGCCAAGAATTTCCTTGAGAGAGTCTTCCCTTCCTTCTCTCACACAGAAAATGGAAACGAAAAGGACACTTATACCAAGAATCAGAAAGTGACGGTTTAAATTTCTAGGACACAGAGGGCTTGGAGAATTTGACGGTCACATGGCATATTGAAGGCGAGACGGGCAGAAGAAAGCAGAGCGTAACCTATCTAATGAGCTTGCCTAAAATGGAAAGCAGATTAGAGAGTTGGAAAGATAGCAATAAAAGTAAATATTTTTAAGAGCTGCAAAAGACAGGAAGTTGTCGAGAGCCGTGATCGCCCACGTTCTGAAGGGAGACAGCACATGAAAGAAAACTACAAACAAATGAAATCTATTTTCTTTTCGGCTGGCTTTATTTTTTATTTATTTTATTCCTTTTTTCTTTCCTTTTATTTATATATTTTGCTTCTCCCCATCTTCATTGCTGAAGTTCTGGTATTAATGTTACGGTTTTGAGTTGGCCTTCTCCTAAACTGAAGTCTGCCCTGCCATTTAACCCATAGCTGGGGAGAGAAGAGACGTATTCATAACTTTCACAAGGATATTTGCGTGTAAGTGAATATATCGAACTCAGTTCTTCGACTTCTCAATCTGAGCCACTTTCTATTACACCACCCGCACACTAACCTACTAATGTTAATTTTTTAAAAAAATGCTCTATATTCTTGATCGGTGTCGCTGAAAATGAAACTTGACGCTCGGGAATAATGACAGATATTTTTGACAAGAAAGATTGTAAAAATCGACATTTCTTAGATATTTCATCAGTTTCCGTTTTGTATCAGAAAAGCATAAGTATTAATCATAAAAGTTCTGAAAAATTCATTGTCTGTCGCAGCCGTGTATCTTGGGCTTGAATACTACTGAAAAATTCATCAAAAACATTGTTTGACGGCGCCATTATGGTGTCTTCGATTTTTCACAAAAATTCTGCGTATTTTCAAGATATATGTATATTTTCAGCAGATTCTCATAACCTGACTGGGGGAGACAACATTTTGCTACTCACCCTTACTAATAAGGAAGCGTTTTGCAAAAAGGTGCCGAAAAGTTCTCAACCCGATTTATTTCTCGAAAACCGCAGATTTTTGAAAAAAGGTTTTTGATATTACTGACTACTTTTCAGAGCCACCTTTTACAGTAATCATAACCAGCTATAACCTTACTTTTGACCTTTTATCTAACCTAGTTTTTACAAAATACAAGATCACCCATAAAACCGTTGGGTTTCTTTTAAAAGCAGTTCAGCATTTCAAAATGATGAGGGAACAATATGATCAACGTTTTTTATAAATTACACATTTTAATTTGTGTTTAAAGTAAGTTTATTGTTCCTCTGGGCGTCATAGTTAACACACTGAGTGAAAATTTGGATTAATAGGTTAAAATCGGTGTCGTCTTTTTCAAAATAATAAGTATATTTTTTTATTATACATACTTATTTCTTCCTAGCATTATTTCAAAATACGTAACGGCAGCAAATCAACGTGCATCTATTTATTTATTTACAATCAAGTAATGGGACACATAACTTCTTCACCTTTCAAATAGTTGTTTATTAAAATAAAAGTTCTAAAATAGTGGAGTGAATTGTAAAATTGTGTTATGCCTATTTAAATTTATTTAATAATGTTGTTATAATGTATGATGTTTTTTTTATTTTTTGCCTACATAATAGTTGGAATATGATATACAATTGTTTGTTTATATACGCGGATTGAAATAAGAATTTATATCGAAAACAAATACTGAATTACCTATTAAAAATGACGTAAAAATAGAAAAACGGCCCGAGCTAAAGAACCCCTTGTCTAATTTTAATGAATTTTTGCACTGTACTCGACAGGGGTTAAAGGTACAAAATTAGTTAAGGCATTATGTATCGCTTAAGCTGTATCTTGGGAATACACATACATACAAGATTATAGTTTTAATATGATATAGATGAAGGAAGAAAAACAAAATTCGGGTTTCAAAAACTACAGATAATGAAATTTATTTCCGCTAGTAAAACGGTTATTTTTTAATTGATAATTACTTAGAACAGAACTAAAAAAAAAAAAACGTTTCTCCAATATTTGATTAGTTTGAAACGGTGTAATTACTGGTTCTAACTTCATATCTGAAGAATATAAGACTGCTATAACTTTAGGCTTTGTGCTTATGAATTTAAGACTACCAGCAACCTATCAAACATAGTGAGTATTAAGACCAAAAATTTTAAACTTTATCAACCGAGAACACAATCATAAAAAAAATATAACAAAAAAATGGCTTCAAGAAGAGAGAATGGAGGAAGTAAAAAATACAAAATACATCTTTTCTCTTCGGGGTCGATGCCAAAAACCATTCTTTTTTCTTTCTATCCTTATTGGAGTCATGTTTAGACCAAATACGTTTTGTTTTATCAAAGTAAATCAAGTTATAAATGTCGTTTACAGATATTGTTTACAATACTGATTGAGCAATGGATATTATAAAGACACAGTTCTATGACTTTGTATAAATTAATGGCTAACTCGTTTGAAATATTTCTGAAAATAATGTAGAAATTGTGAGTAAAATTTCTTTAAAGCTTTTCCTGGCAATAATCTGAGGTTGATTATGAATGTAAGGCAATAAAGCCACTAAGACGCAGGGGGGTACTGAGTGAGGAGATAGAAGATAACGATTGATATTGCATTTACATTTTTGAAGATCAAAGTTGACTGGAAAGCAAGAAACCGGAAAAGATTTCCACAAGCAGGAAGTTCAAGAGAAGAAGCTATTAGCATAGGACTTACGGTTATATCAAGCAACTTCAACCGTAAAATAATGAGACCTACATGTTAATCTAGCAGTGTGCTTAAATTCATAAAGTCTAGATACCAAAGAGGAAAGCTCATCAGAATAATTATCATGAAAATGTTTATAGAAAAGGCATAGTACTCCTTCCTTATTAATTGAACAGGAGTAAAGGTTTATTATTTGTTTCTTGTTTTGATCGGTTCCTTTCTTCCGTGACCTTAATGAATTAATTGTCTTAACTGTTTGGTCACTGACTGATCAGTGGATGCGACTTTTAATTTTAAAGGCACAGAGTTGGTAGTTTTATGGTTGCTACATCCAGACTGGTAGTAAGGAGCCTGAACTCTTTGGCAACGCTTAGAGAGGCTGATTTGGTCAACAGCCGCATAATATCGAGGAATTCGTAGTACTATGTTACATATAAATCGTGATTCTGAATGTGATGACGATTTTAATTTTATAGTTAAGCATATTGTTAAATATTTATCATTTACATATGATATTTTCAGTTGATTAAATACAATGTTTCTTTTAGATATGAATAAATGAAGAAATTATGTACGCTATTTACATTCGGACTATTGTCCTCATCTTTATTGTTTTTATCCCAAAGTTTCGACCGTTGTGTCTTCCAGCCTTCATCAGGCGTGTATCGATCCGAGTAACCTACAGAGAATTCCGAACTGGACTCTATATGATTTACGGGGGCAGAATGTTCCCGTTCCACTGTCCATGTGCCGGGATATCTCGACTAATTATTTTTTTTTTAACACTGCTTAGTTATTGTCCACCTCATTGCCATTGAGTCGAAGTACACAATGTCCGGCTCAAGTATTGAACTCACAATTAATATGTCAACAAATCCACGAAACCCCGCTTTAATCCACTAGAACAAAGCTAAAATAGGCCTTGTTGTCATAATTATCACGCTTTGATGATTGGTGTTTATGTGAAACCCTGCGAAGTCGAAAAGTAAATCTTTGAACGTTTCTTCATACTTATTTTTTAATCAATTCACCTCAAGGCGATGATAGACTAAGACGCAGAGGGCTAGTGGGAGTGAAAGACAATGAAAAAAATCTTTAGAACAGCGGCTCCCAACCGATTTTGGGCCATGCTCTACTTTGGTATTTCTAAAATTCTGGTGAAACTGTAATATTTAATTCTGGCATATTCAAAACTTTACTGCAATTCTTGTTAAGGAAGCTTAAAAGGCCATTAACTTGGTCTTTGGAGGCTTGTTTAAAGACTATGTCGTCCATGAAAGCGAAAAATTTTTAAAAAAAACAAAAAACAGTTAAGTATATATTTTTTCAAAACATATAATAAAGAACTGAAAGACAGAAATATAAAATATTTGAATGAAAGTTTATTCTGTAATATACTTTGATCATTTTAATCATGAAATGATAATGCAAAATGAAATTTGAGGTCACGTTAGTATAATAAGCCGAAGGGTGCACATTCTGGGCATGCGCCACCGGTGGGGCATGCGCCGCACGTTGTTAATCATTGCTTTAGAAGGAACTGGAAACCCAATCCTAAACCGGAAACAAGGAATAAACCTCTATTTCTATTCAAAAGACTGGGAGGAGTGTGAACCGGATGACATGGGAACGTAACGTATATAATATATATATATATATATATATATATATATATATATATATATATATATATATGATAGATAGATAGATAGATAGATAGATAGATAGATAGAAAATTGCTAGTTTCAGAGTAGATTTTCTTATGTTCTTTTTTTATTTTATGTAATTATTATTTATTTTCGCTTATATTTATTTCAATTCCAGAAATATACAGGGACTTGATTTTGGCAGCCTTTAAGAAATAAAAAAAAAATTTTTCATTTCAAACAAAATTTCAGAAATGTTAACATGTGTCTTCTTTGTTTCTCTAAGTTATTTTTATTTTATAATTTTTAATTTTATTTTTAAAAAAATTCTCCCTTTTTTTCTCTGACAAATAAACTTTAATGTAACGAACAATATTTTAGTTGATTTTACTGGAATCTCTTAATTTTCATCACCTACCTAGATGATTTTCAATCCCGCAAGTTGTATAAACTGTTTTTCTCTTATATAGTGTTCTGTTTAATGTGGCCCACGGCCCTAAATTTGTAGCACCCATTAAGAATCGATCACACTAGAGTAGCAATAGCCTATAAGGCT